AAGCACCATCATGATCACCATCGTCACCGGCTTGAAACCTTGACCTCCATCGAAGCATCATTGTCGTCTCTCCAACTATTGCTTCTACGACTATCGCTACCGCTTAGTGATAAAGTAAAGCAATTACATGGCGATTGCATTTCATACAATAAAGCGACAACCATATGGCTCCTGCCAGTTGCCGATAACTGCGTTACAAAACATAATCATCTCATACAATAAAATTTAGCATCATGTCTTGACCATATCACATCACAACATGCCCTGCAAAAACAAGTTAGAACTCCTCTACTTTGTTGTTGCAAGTTTTACGTGGCTGCTACGGGCTGAGCAAGAACCGTTCTTACCTACGCATCAAAAACCACAACGCAGTATAGTGATTGCTTTTTGATCTTCAAAAAGAACCCTGTTCATTGAATCTGATTCAACTAAAGTTGGAGAAACTGACACCCACCAGTCACCTGTGTGCGAAGCACATCGGTAGAACCAGTCTCGCATAAGCGTACGCGTAATGTCGGTCTGGGCCGCTTCATCCAACAATACCACCGAATCAAGAATCAACTAGTGATGGCGAGCAATATGTATATACCCACCCCACAACTCCTTTGTGTTCAACTCGTGCATATAACACCTATGCATAAACCTGGCTCGGATGCCACTGTTGGGGAACGTAGTAATTTCAAAAAAATCCTACGCACATGCAAGATCATGGTGATGCATAGCAACAAGAGGGAAGAGTGTTGTCTACGTACCCTCGTAGACCGTAAGAGGAAGCGTTATGACAATGCGGTTGATGTAGTCGTACGTCTTCACGATTGACCGATCCCAGCACCGAAGGTACGGCACCTCCGCGATCTGCACACGTTCAGCTCGATGACGTCCCGCGAACTCACGATCCAGTAGAGCTTCGAGGGAGAGCTTCGTCAGCACGATGGCGTGATGACGGTGATGATGTTACTACCGGAACAGGGCTTCGCCTAAGCACCGCTACGATATGACCAAGGTGGATTATGGTGGAGGGGGGCACTGCACACGGCTTGGAACAATCAACTTGTGTGTCCTAGGGTACCCCCTTCCCCCGTATATAAAGGAGCAAGGGGGGGCCGGCCGTCCCTAGTGGCACCCAAGGAGAGGAGGAATCCTCCTCCTAGTAGGAGTAGGATTCATCCTTTCCTAGTCCTACTAGGAAGGAGGAAGGGGAAGGAAAGAGAGGGAGAGGGAGAGGGAAAGAGGGGCCGCCCCCCTCCCCTAGTCCTATTCGGACTCCCCTGGGGGGGGCACCTCCTGGGCTGCTGCCCTCTCTCTCCCCTAAGGCCCAATACTTCCCCGCGGGGTTTCGGTAACCCCTCCGGCACTCCGGTTTTCTCCAAAATCACCCGGAACACTTCCGGTGTTCGAATATAGCTGTCCAATATATCGATCTTTACGTCTCAACCATTTTGAGACTCCTCGTTATGTCCGTGGTCATATCCGGGACTCCGAACTACCTTCGGTACATCAAAACACATAAACTCATAATATCGATCATCACCGAACGTTAAGCGTGCGGACCCTACGGGTTCGAGAACTATGTAGACATGACCGAGACTCATCTCCGGTCAATAACCAATAGCGGAACCTGGATGTTCATATTGGTTCCTACATATTCTATGAAGATCTTTATCGGTCAAACCGCATAACAACATGCGTTGTTCCCTTTGTCATCAGTATGTTACTTGCCCGAGATTCGATCATCGGTATCTCAATACCTAGTTCAATCTCGTCACCGGCAGGTCTCTTTACTCGTTCTGTGATGCTACATCCCATAACTAACTCATTACCTACATTGCTTGCAAGGCTTATTGTGATGTACATTACCGAGAGGGCCCAGAGATACCTCTCCGACAATCGGAGTGACAAATCCTAATCTTGATCCATGCCAACTCAACAAACACCATTGGAAACACCTGTAGAGCACCTTTATGATCACCCAGTTACGTTGTGACGTTTGGTAGCACACAAAGTGTTCCTCCGGTATTCGGGAGTTGCATGATCTCATAGTCACAGGAAGATGTATAGTTATGGAGAAAGCAATAGCAACAAACTAAACGATCATCGTGCTAAGCTAACGGATGGGTCAAGTAAATCACATCATTCTATAATGATGTGATCCCGTTAATCAAATGACAACTCATGTCTATGGTTAGGAAACGTAACCATCATTGATTCAACGGGCTAGTCAAGTAGAGGCAAACTAGTGACACTCTGTTTGTCTATGTATTCACACATGTACTAAGTTTCCGGTTAATACAATTCTAGCATGAATAATAAACATTTATCATGATATAAGGAAATATAAATAACAACTTTATTATTGCCTATAGGGCATATTTCCTTCAGCCTTGGCATTGATTCCCCACGGGAAACCAAGGCGATGAGAACGACGAGCGCGCCTGGTCGCTGACTCGGCGGGCCCACCAGGATTTCGCGTGCAAAATTGTTTCGCCCCAGCGCCCCCAGCGCACCGGATTCGGTCTGGGTCCGCCGATGCCAAATTCCGCCATAGCCGGCGAAAACTAGGCTTCTGGGGGCGCGACTGGGCCGTTGTTTTCACGCCGACGATAAAAAAGGGGCCTTTGGGCCTGTTGGGGGTGCGGCTGGAGATGCTTTAAGGCCCGAGGCACCATCACCAGGAACATCTGCCTCATAGACGGGCCAGATCTAGCATGCCCGCCTCACCAGCACCTCATGTGCTGCACCTCCGTCATGCCCTAGAGCTCTGCACGCCAGCGACGTCCGCGCGCAGCCTCGGGCCTCCCGACGCGTCGAACCAGCGCCCAGCCGCACGCCATTGTGACCTGGCCAGCTAGACGCACCCAGGGCAGCCACATGAGCTATCTGACAGCGACCAACATGCCCTGGCCGCCAGCTCGTGCCCCGCGTCGTGCCCATGCAAAGCACATGTGCCGGGCATCGACCTCGCGACCCACGCCGGCCCAGCGTGAGCTCAACGTCCCGCACCGTTGTTGCCCTAGCGAGTGGGAAAAAAGGCCCCGTCGCCATCGACGCCACGTGAGCTTTGCCCGATAATGCCCTTCGGTGGCGGCGAGGGAGAAAGGCCACGGAAGGTCTACGAGTGGTGGCGCTAGGGTTTGCTCTCGGGCCGCTCACGGAGCGACATCGAGAACGCGTTATTTTGTCCATGATTTAACCCCACGTGACGGGAATAGTTCAGTTAACTGAATGTTCACTCCAACACGAATTTTGGCATAAATTAAACATCAAAATTAGCACTAATTTTAAGCATGGATTAAACATTGTTTAAGCAGTGCACTGAACAGACACAAAACACTATACATGACCATTAAATAAAATTTCCGCAATATGTTTGCCGGAGCATTTTCCGGCAGATCCCTCGATAGGGTACTATGGCTAGGCGGTATACTGAGGGGAAACCATAGAAGATTTACTCGGATTCTGGGCGTCAAAGTGGAGGTATATCCCTGCTTCCTACTCATTTGTATTGATTGGGTAACTATATTGTTATTGTTTATACCCACTAGCCTAGCCCCAACTTATATGGGCAACAGGGGCTAGGTTTACATGATCATACACTTTTAGGGTTACGAAGGAGTCCTCTTGGAAGGCAGCTTGTTTGTCGTGTACTCTCATGTCCTTTGGGTCTTCATTTTCTATGGGCCCATAGGCCGATATGACAGCCCAGGGCATAAACCGGCCTAGGGGGCCGGCCTGTTTGGACTGGGCTCCGGTATGACGAGGCACTCTTGAGCCGTAACATCGTCAATTTTCATAGAAGTTGTGTGTAGGAATAGCAAAATATTTTATATATTTGGCTTGTTTTGTATTTTGTGAACCTTCAAACTAAATATCGATCCTATTTGGAAATGAATGGACCGTTAGTTTCAAACAGGATGAGTTCTTTTGTGTTCTGTTACTACTTGAAGTTACTTGATTTTGGCTAGTCAAAACACGTATTATAACCTGTCAACATGCGGTTGGATGATTAGAAAAACAGTGACATTCTCAGTCCATCAAGGTTCAAGTCACCGGTGCTCGTATTTTTTTGAATTTATTTCAGGCCTTACGGTGATGCACGTTCAGTGGGAGAAGATCTTTTTGTCGACTATGAAGACGTCTGTGACGACTTCGTCAATTTCAAAATAATGTCCCGGCTCAGTCTTTCGAAGATGCTCATAGGTGTACGGTGTGCGTACGTGCGTTCACAAGGATAAGCTTATGTATGAGCGTCTGCGTCCGTAATGTATACAATGTGTTGAAGAAAATCAGCAAACGAATCGACTTTCGAAATACGCTGGGATGGCCGCCATGCCTATCAAGCGTCCAGACCACTCCACCAGGGACTCGGCTCCCCTGACGTACTGCAGGGCGCAGTTGGGTCACTGACAGGTGGGCCAACTTTCTTTCAGGCCCACATGTCAGTGGCCCAACTGCGCGCTGCAGTACGTCAGAGGAGCCTCATCCCTCCACCAGTGGCTACCTACCCTACCATATGCAGGCTCCGTGTTGCGATGTTGCAAACCGACGCCGGCGGCCACACGCTCCCGCCCCAAAGTCAGTCACCACAGGCGAACGCACCACGGTAGATCTAGTAGATCCCACGGGCGCACGGCCCCTCCAACCACGGATGCGCGCGCACCGGCCCGGCGACCGTGCGCCGAGACCGCGCCGCGCCGTGCGCAGGCACCACCCGACCGCACGGCGGCGACCCACCACCGCAGGATCCGCGAAAGGGCGGCCACGATGGCGTCTCCCCGGCACACCGCCTCCAGAGTTCCAGACTCCTGCCTGGACCCCGCTCCCACGTGCCCCCTCTCCTCTTTTTAAGACCGCGGTCAGGCCGGCCACCGTCCCATCCCATCCCATCCCATCCACCTTCCTCCTCTGCCCCCGCCCAGCGCGTTCCATTTTGAAGCAGGAAACAGCAGCGCGCACATCTCACTGTCCCTGGTTCGTCGTCCGACGAGGAAGAGGCGAGGGTGATGGAGCGGCGGAGGGCTGCGTGGGCCGCGGTGCTGGTGGCGGTGGCCGCGTGCGCGGCGCTGCCGGCGACGACGACGGCGAACAAGATCAAAGTCAACTGGCTGCCCAACACCAACTACTCCGGCTGGGAGCAGGAGCACGGGCCCTTCTACAAGGGCGACTGGCTCGGTACGTACTCTTTACGCCTTGGAGCTCGAGCTGGAGCCCAGCCGCCGCCAGCAGATCTGGTCGCCGGAGCGCGGCCGCGGAAGGAAATGCGAGGCCTTTCTTTCTTTCTTTCTTTCTTTCTCCGCCGCCGTATTACTCTAATGTCCGGCCGGCCGGCTGGCTGACTGACTGACTGACTCGGGGCGTCTTGTGCACATGCAGTGTTCTACTACACGGCGGGGCAGGCGGACGTGGTGGAGGTGAACGAGTCCGGGTACAACCGGTGCGACGCCAGCAACGCCATCTACAACTACAGCAAGGGCCGCAGCTTCGCCTTCGAGCTCAACGAGACCAAGACCTACTACTTCATCTGCAGCTTCGGCTACTGCCCCGGCGGGATGCGGCTGGCCATCAAGTCCCAGAACCTGCCGCCGCCGTCGCCGCCGCCCTCCGCGCAGCACCACCGCTCCGCCGCGCTCGCCGGGCCGCGCGCCGGGGTCGCCCTCTACGCCGCCGTCGCCGTTCTCGCCGCGCTCCTCAGGGCGGTCTAGTGTAGCCGGTCTGGCGCTGGTTCTGAGCTCGTTTGTTTGATGGATTGGCTCGAAGTTTCCCCATTTCTTCATTTCTTTGGTGCGTGTGTGCTAGGATAGCAGAGTGGTAGTGCCACGGGCGGGCGTTCTTGGTTGATTATTAGCGGTGTGGATTTGCGGAACCAAATGGTTACCGGCGCTTTGATTTATCAAGTGTGAGGAGTGCACTGGACTGGAGAGGAGAAACGGTTTCTATGCTAATGATGATTTGTTTTGCTCTGTGGAGAAGTAGTACTCTCTTTTTCGGGGTGCTATCAGTGGCTTCGGCACGGCTGGGCGGCTGGCCCGTACCACCAGCTGGAATTTGCGCGCGTAAACAAAATTGCACATGCCGTGCAGAAAACGCTCGACGAGTGCCGAGATTTCAACATTGAGAGCATCTCCGGCCGTTGGTCTCTCAGGAGGCGCAAAAAAACGCTTCATGAGGCGAGCCGGCGCAAAACGCACGCTGGGGTATAATGCCACTTAGTTGCGGCGCCCATGGATTTTGTGAAAGTTAAAGTGCAGCATAAATATGACACAAATTTAATCATTTTCAGCGAGTTCATACATATTTCGGCAAGTTCAAACCAAATTCAACCAAACACGGCGACAGTTCATACATATTTAAAACATTTTACAAAAAAGAAAAAACACACTACTAGGCCTGTCGTCTCCCTCGCCTCGCCGCTCGTCGCCATTCTACATGCCGAAGAGGCTGTAGAACCGCGTGTAGCCGCAGTCGTCGTCGCCCCCGCTGCGGCCGCTGTCTCTGCTGCAACCCTCCCCCGGTTGGCGCGGCGGGTTGGACGGTCCGGGAGCGTCCTCGTCGTCGTCGCTGTCGAGGATCACGACGCATGGCTGCCTCGTCTACGCGTGGCATGCGCGGGGATGCGCGTCGTCACGCCGTCCGTGAGGCATCAATAGCGGAGGCTAACCGGCGGGGCAGCGCGCGACAGCTTTGGCATTGATTCGCCGCGGGAAACGAGACGATGAGGACGACGAAGCGGCGAGAAGCGAGACGAGTCGCTGGCAAGGAGGGCCCGCGGCTCTTTCATGCCAAAAACGATTCGCCCGGCGCAACCGAGCGCCCCCAGCGCGCCGGGTTCGGGTTGGGTCCGCCTGCGCCATTTTCAGTCCAAGCCGGCGAAAATTAGACCCTTGAGACGCGACTGGGTCGATTTTTTTACACCAACAACCGAAAACTTGCCTGGGGCCTTGTTGAGGGCGTGAATGAACATGCTTTGAATGACCGAACCAGCGTTGGTATGCGAATGCGGAAATAGGTGGCTGATTATCTGACGGTTAGGATACGCTATCTGCTCGTCTTAAATACTTCTTCCGTCTGAAAATACTTATCATTAACAAAATAAATAAAAGATAATGTATTTAGATGTCATCAAAATAAATAAAAAATATATCTAGATATATATTAATTTTGAATATATCTTTTTTTATCTATTTTAATGATAAATATTTTCGAACGGAGGAAGTAGAAGCTGTCCACAGATCGGCCAGTGACCGGCTTGAGGACCTGACTGGCCGGCAAAAGCCAGGGCAGGAGCGGCGGCACGGTGCGAACCAGCCAAGCTAGCGGTAGGAGATCACATGCGTCCGCGTTGGATACCACCACATGGCCCGGTTTCAATGCGGATCGCAGGGACAGAGGATCCACTAGTTCCACATTTGTTTACGTCGCGACCCGTGCTTTCCCGTCTTCATTTGTGGGCAGGGCAATGGAGCATGGCGGAGCGTCTACGACACGGACTTGCGTTGCTCGTTAAGAGCAACTCCCACGGACCGACTAAACCCACGGTGATTTCGTTCATTTTTTGTCTGTTTAGATTAGTTGTCCGTCCGGCATTTGCTCTGTTTTTCATATGGGTCGGCAGCGCGCCCAACGCGTCGACCCATATATGCAGGCATGGCCGGCTGGCCGCCCAATTTTGCATTGCATTCTCACATATGGTGAAATGAAAATTTAACAAATAAAATAGTCCGTCCAAATAAATAGTATAGTTACAGGCCAAATAAAAATAAAAATGTTTCACATAGTTTTGCAAAACGAATAAAAAAGATACATCTATTAGTTGCCAACATGAGTCCACATATACTCAACCAAATCATTTTGCAGTTGCACGTGAGTTTCTCAATCACGCATGTCTTCATAAAACTGAGGGCCTGTTCGGCCGCTCTCCGCGGAGCGGAGCCGGCGGAGCGCCCTTTTAGCAGCTCTGCGTATTATACCTAGCAAGCCACTCCGCTCCGGCGCGGAGCCGCGGAGCGGAGGGAGTCCGAAGGCGGCCTGAGTGAACTGCTCAAATGTTGCCGCTACTCCATGCTCAGGCACAACATTCTCACCCTGAAACTGAAAGCCTTGATCGTACAGACGTTCCGGGCGCTCGTCTTCTACGATCATATTGTGCATGATCACACAAGCAGTCATCACCTCCCATAGTTTCTACGTGCTCCAAGTATTAGCAGGATACCGAACGATGCCTCATCGAGATTGCAAAACACCAAAGGCACGCTCGACATCCTTTCTAGCACTCTCTTGCTCTTGGGCAAATCTTTTTCTTTTCTCTCCGAAAGGGTTGGGTATTGTCTTGACAATAGTGGTCCACTGAGGATAGATACCGTCACCCAAATAATACCCTTTGTCGTAGGTGTGGTCGTTGACAGTAAAGTTCACCGATGGGATGTTTCCTTCGGCAAGCCTAGCAAACACCGGCGGGCGCTGAAGCACGTTGATATTATTGTGTGATCCAGCCATGTCAAAGAAAGAGTGTCATATCCAGAGATCTTGAGAGGCCACGGCCTTTAGTATGACAGTGCAAGCCCTGACATGTCCCTTTTACTGCTCTTGCCAAGCAGAAGGGCAGTTCTTCCACTCCCAGTGCATGCAGTCTATGCTGCCAAGCATTCCCGGGAAGCCCCTGCTAGCATTCATCACCAACAAACGGGCTGTATCTTCAGCTGTCGGCTCCCTTAAATACTCAGGGCCAAACACAGCAATCACAACCTTGCAGAACTTATACAGGGACTCTAGGCATGTAGACTCGCTCATACGGACGTACTCGTCAATGAGATCACCGGGCACTCCGTATGCAAGCATTTGATGGCGGCAGTGCATTTCTGATAAGGGGAGAAACCAATCTTGCCGACGGCATCCTCTTTGCACTCGAAGTAGTCATCATAGCCGACCACCCCCTCTCTAATACGGTTGAAAACATGCCTACTCATACGGAACCGACGGCGGAATTTATGATGTTTGAACAACGGGTTTGTTGTATCAAAGTAGTCCTTCCAGAGAAGGAAATGCCCGCTCTCCCGGTTACGATTCAACGCCGGAAGGTGGCCTGGAATGGAGCCACGGAACAACGGCCGCTGGTTGTTGAGGTGGTGATGGACCAACACAGCAACCAATATGTAACGCCCCGAGACCGTTGTGCCAGGTGTCCTCCAGTTATTCGCCGGCGTTGCCATGTCATTTGCTTGCGTGTTGCTTTTCATTATGCCATCATGTGCATTGCATCATCATGTTTTCGAAACTTGCATCCGTCCTGGCCTCCTCGTTCTCTCTGTTTTCGATCTCCGGAAACCGTGTCGGGCTGCATCTCTCCCCTTTCCTCTCAGACCAAACCGCTCTCCACAGTCCTCCTAGGCCCAACCTACCTACCCCTCTTTGCGCCGCGCATAGACCTCTCGTGCGCGTCCGAAACTTACCCGGACCCGACCCGGACAGTCGTCACCGTCGTGTCCGGATCATCCCCAAACATCTACAAAACGTCTCCGTTTTTCTTTTGGGATACCTAGCCTATTTTTTTTCCGTAATCGGAGTGACATAACCGCCCTAAACCGATTTCATCGGCTATAAATATAAGGTCCAACCCTAGATCGTAGGAGTCTTGTCCCATCAATCCCACCGCGCCGCCACTCCACCTGTTTTTCCTCGGGATCCCTCCCGGACCAACCCGCATCAAACCCCCGATCCAAAAAGTATCCTCTCGATCTCTCCCCACCAACCGAGGCCTCCCCTCGATCCAACCCTCCTCTGCCTCCCTGCCCGTTCTGGATCGGAGCCCGAGCAGATGAGCCCCGTCGCGCCCTCTCCTTCCTCCGTTTTTCCTCCTCTCTGTATCTCATCTCTCCCTCGTCGCTGTCTCGTGCAGAAAACTCGTCGCCGGCCTTCCCTGCCTCGTCCAAGTGGGGTTTCAGCGCCTCGCCACCCGGATCCAACCATCTCCGCGTCATCCGCGCCGCCCACCCTGCCACGCTCGTGCCCGGGTCCAGCAGCTGCTGCCCTCCCGACCTTCGTCTGTTCCGCGATCCTGCTGAAGCCGCACCAAGTTCTATCGCTGCTCTGTATCGCTGCGTGCAGCTGATCCAGTGGCTCCCCAGCGCCTCGTTCGTCCTTGCCAGCGCCCGCGTGTGCGCAAGGGCCGCAAGGCTAGGGGCGCCCGGCTCCTTCCGCTTACCCAGCCAGCCAAGGGCCAGAATCGCCATGGCCGCCGGCCTCTGTTTTCCCGCTGTGAGCAACTTCCTCCATAACTGAAGCTTCGTTCTGTTCCTAGATCCGTTCTGGCATATAGGTTATTTCAGAGTTGTCACTATGTTCCACCACAAGCAGATCAGCTAGCTTACTGGTTGTTCCCTCGAAGACACATCAGGAGGTCCTGTGTTCGAGTCCCAGGCTGCCCTGTTTCTTTTTTCTTTTTGCCAAACAGTCACTCAACCACTTGGGCCAAATCCTCTTGGGCTGCTGCGGTATGCTGCAAACCGGCCTGTGCGTGTTTTTTTTCCAGTTCCAGCGAAATTAGCTTTATTCCTGGGATTTTCTGTTTTGTTAAAAAAAACCCTAAACTTCATGCATTTAATATCTCACCAACCGTGCATCCAAATTGAACAAACTTAATATGAAAATTGCTTAGAATTGTGTGTAGTTTCATATTATGTCATTTTCATCTATGTTTAAAATGTTTAAAAAGTTGTTTGTTTAAATTTGCTTAAATAACTTGCTAAAATGATTTAATTCATAACTAAATAACCGTAACTTGGATTTTAACAAACTTTATATGTAAATGGGGTAGAATTTTGCCTAGTTTAACATGATTCACTTACTTTGCATGTTTAACAACTCTAAAATTTTGTTTAGGGCAGAACAGTACCAAACCTAATATATGCATATGAGGAGTTTCCGGAATTGTTGTTCGGTGTTTCCGGCCTCATTTAAACTTGACTAGATAGGTAGTTTTCATTTGCTTCACCCTCTTGCCATGTTTTACAACATTTAATATTGTTATGTACATAAACGAGATCGAACTAAATAACTTATCGTGGTGTTTCGCCAATATGCAACTCGTTGCATATTGAGCTCCACTTAACTTGTAGTGTTGTTTGTGCACTTTGCCATGCCATGCATATTTAAACTGTACATGCATCATACTCGGGTTGTGCATCATGCCATGATTATGTGATGGTTGTTTACTATGTTATTTGCTTCTTTTCGGTGTTGCTTCTTCGGGTTGGTTCCGATAACGTCGTGTTGTGAGGATTCGTTCGACTACGTCTGTTTGTCTTCTTCATGGACTTGTTCTTCTTCCTTGCGGGATTTCAGGCAAGATGACCATACCCTCAAAATCACTTCTATCTTTGCTTGCTAGTTGCTCGCTCTTTTGCTATGCATATGCTGCGATACCTACCACTTGCTTATCATGCCTCCCATATTGTTGAACCAAGCCTCTAACCCACCTTGTCCTAGCAAACCGTTGTTTGGCTATGTTACCACTTTGCTCAGCCCCTCTTATAGCGTTGTTAGTTGCAGGTGAAGTTTGAAGTTTGTTCCTTGTTGGAACTTGGAGATGTTGTTCCTTGTTGGAATATCACAATATCTCTTATTTAATTAATGCATCTATATACTTGGTAAAGGGTGGAAGGCTCGGCCTTATGCTGGTGTTTTGTTCCACTCTTGCCGCCCTAGTTTCCGTCATATCGGTGTTATGTTCCCGGATTTTGCGTTCCTTACGCGGTTGGGTAATAATGGGAACCCCTTGACAGTTCGCCTTGAATAAAACCTCTCCAGCAATGCCCAACCTTGGTTTTACCATTTGCACTAACAACCTACCACCTTCCCTTGGGTTCTGCAGACTC